GATCTGTAAAAAAATCCTGCTATATTGTGTCCTGAGCTTTCAATTGAAGGGAAACTAAACTTAATTTTAATGTGTGTGTGTGTGGGGGGGGGGGGCACATGTTTCCTAAATATATATACGTGACTAAACTGTTTTTATTTATTTATTTATTTATTACAGCTCATAAACTGTTTTAATTTGTTTACCTAAAGATTTAAAAAACACACAAAAAAAAAAAATAATGAGACCGGTGTCAGAGAACGTTATGGGGTTCTGTAAATAGACAGCACAGTAGAAAGGGATTGCTTTCAGACCGTCTCTCTCTAATTGAATCTCCATAGGGTAAAGCAGCATGAATGGAGGAATCTGCAGTGCTGGCTATTGTATTCAGCAGCACCCTGCAGCTTCTGAGGCCTGATCAGGGCCGGTGTGCTATAGATAATTTTGCTCCCTAGGCAAGACCAGCTAAAAAAAAAAAAAAAAAAAAAAAAAAAAAAAAAAACCCAAAACTTCACCTGTAGTTATGCTACTTCACCCCTCCTAGTCCACATCCTCTTTCCCCTCGAATTTTTACACCCCCAATTTTCTTTCCCAAATCTTCCCTTCTAGCAGCACAAAAAAATTCAAAAAAATCCCCCCCTCCTAACACAAATCCCCCCCAATCCTCCCTCCTAGCAACAGCCCCTCCCAATCCCCCATCCTAGCACACAGCCCCCCCCCCAGTCCTCCCTTCTAATACAGCCCCCCCTCCAACCCACTCTCTAAACACAAATTCCCCCTAAAAAAAAAAAAAATAACAAAAAAAAATCCTCCCTCCTAGCAAGCCCCTCCCAATATCCCCATCCTAGCAAAATAAAAAAAAATTCCCCCTCTTAATAAAGCACAGCCCCCCCTCCAACCTACTCTCTTAACACAAATTCCCCTAATCCCCCCTCCTAAAAAAACCCCCCCAATCCTCCCTCCTCCTAGCACAGCCCCTAAAAAATCCCAATCCCCCATCCTAAAATCCCCCCCCCAATCCTCCCTCCTAGCACAGCCCAAAAAAAAACCTACTCTCTTAAAACAAAATTCCCCCTAATCCCCCCTTCTAACACAAATCCCCCCCAATCCTCCCTCCTAGCACAGTCCCTCCCAATCCCCCATCCTAGCACAACCACCCCCCTCCAATCCTCCCTCCTAGCACAGCCCCCCCTAAACCTACTCTATTAAAAAAAACCACAAATTCCCCCTAAGTTCTAAAAAAAAATCCCCCCCAATCCTCCCTCCTAAGAAGCAAAAATAAATCCTAAAAATCCCCCATCCTAGCTTAAAAACCACCCCCTCCAATCCTCCCTCCTAGCACAGCCCCCCCCCCCCCTCCAACCTACTCTCTTAACACAAATTAAAAAAAAAAAAATCCCCCCTCCTAACACAAAAAAAATAAAATCCTCCATCCTAGCACAGGCCTCTCAATCCCCCATCCTAGCACAGTGTGGTGAAAATATATATATTAAATTATAAAAAAAAATTTAAAAAATAAAAAATATATATAATAGATAGATAGATATCATGGTATCATGGCTTTTTTTCAGCAGGAACTTTGGGGCTCCTCCAACACTGATGGCAAGGCGTGCTGGGGAAGTACTGAAGGGTCTATTAAATTTGGCTGCTGGGAGATCTATCATCACTGGGGGGGGGGGGCTTATTTTTTTTATCATGTGGGGGGTTTAGTGCTGCCTTGGGGGGGATCTATTGTTGTTGGGGGCTTATGTTGCTGGAGGTCAGTTGTTGCTGAGAGGGATCTACTATTGATGCTGGTTGCTGGAGGGTCTATTGATTGCTGGCTGCTGAGAGATCTGTTGTTTCTGCAGGGGGTCTATTGTTGCTGGGGTGTGATAATTTGGCGCAGGGGTACAATTTTGCCGGGGGGGGGGGGGGTTGTTGGTGGTGTGGGGGGCTTTTATTGCTGGCTGCAGGGGTCTATTTAACTGCATTTCTTATTATCATGAACACATTCCATGCAAATTACTTGGCACCACAAAATGACACCCAGTTCCAGATTCTCTAACAGAGGCAGTTATGGGAGGTGAGTAGGGGGTGGAACCAAGAGGCGGTGCTTGGAGGTGGGTAGGGGGCGGAGACAAGTGGTGACTCAGAAGGGGGGTTTCTGCACCTATTCTCTGAGAAATAAAAGCCCTGCATATATATATATATTTTTTTTTTAATTTTGTTTATTTTAGAGAATAGGTGCAGAAACTCCCCCTTCTGAGTCACCACTTGTCTCCGCCCCCTACCCACCTCCAAGCACCGCCCCTTGGTTCCATATTATATATTATTTACATATTATACATTCCCAGCAATCCCTAACCCTCAAGGGGCGTACAATCCAAGGTATATATATATATACAACATAACAACACTCAATGACAGAGACAGGAAACTACAGAGAGAAGGAGAGAATTCCAGCAAAAGGCACCATTTATCAAACAACAACTTGCACCTGTTTCCAGGGACAGACTTAATTGTTTTACTTTTATTTTAGCTACTGAAACTCAGAAGGATGAGAACCACCACCATGCTTCTCGCTGTTACTTTGGGTGAGTTAAAGAAGTACTTAATGCTGATGTCCGGGTAAAATCAAAAGCTGCCCTAGCAGTGGGGTGACCCCAACCCCCCTCCTCAAGGGTTCAATGCTAATTTTTGCTTATAATACCTTTAAAAAATAGTTTTATTATAGCTTGCTCCTCTCTTCTCTACGACGCTCTGTTTGAGCAGCACAATTAATACTCATTGCTTAATTCAGGTAAAAGTTTTTTCAAGTTGTAATTTTTGTCTAAATTCTCTGGAAAATAAAAGACATAAAATTTTCTTAGAAATATATATCTCAGTGTATATATACTGTATTTTTTCCCCCAATTTTTCTTTAATTTTTTCAATTGTATTTCCTTTTTTAACATTTTTTTTTTCTTAGAAACTGTTACAGTACAGTGTCACTATATGACTAGTGTGGTGATTAAGGACACTGACTAGTGACTATATATATATATATATATCAGTGTATTTACTCTATTTTTTTTCCCGATTTTCTTTTTACATTTTTTTAATTGTATTTTCTTTTTTACACTTTTTTCTCTTAGATACTGTTACAGTACAGTGTCACTATATGACTAGTGTGGTGATCGAGGATACTGACTAATGACTATATTTACTGTATATATATCAGTGTATATATACTGTATTTTTTCCCAATTTTTTTAATTTTTTCAATTGTATTTTCTTTTTTAAGATTTTTTTTTTCACATACTGTGACCAGAGCAATACAGCATCACCATACTGACACCGTGCCATTCTGGGGAAGTGATCAGGATTTTTTTTTTTTCTGATCATCAATGTATAAGCAATCATTTTTACTTTGTGAGTGGCATCCGTTTATGTGCCATTCCGTACTAATGTGACAGCTGTGATTGGTCACAGCTATCACATGGTACAGCAGGCCCGCTGTGACTGGTGCTGTACTATGTGATTACTGTGACCAATCACAGAGATCACAATGGCTGTGAATGACAATCCATTGTTTGTTTGCAACTGACATGGGATCTTTGTGATTGGTCACAACAATCACATGGTACCAGGGTTGCGCAAAGCTGGCTGGTAGATTGATCTGAGTTGTGCTGTGTCTGGTGGATACAGCGTATCAGAGATCGCACTAGATTTTAGCAAATCTTCCCTGAGGTGTGTTACTGGCTAGATCACCAGGTGAAAACAGAGAGAAAAAAATGAAAAAGAAAAACTAATGCAGCCACCACATCTAATGATTGGTGAGCTGCAATATATTACATTTTTGGTTTTGGGTTGAATAATGCTTAAAGCGAAGAACTACAATTATAACTCTATACAGAACTAATTAAACTCTTCCCTTCTGTCTCCCATCACAGCGCTGCTTGCAGTGTGCCAGGCCAGACCAGCGTATGGTAAGTCAGTGACTGGAGTCGCAATAGCAATCTACTGCAATCGCCAAATACAACGAAAGTCTATATAAAAGCCCATAAATCAGATAAATACATTCCAGGATCCATCAACACAAAATGTGTGCTAAGCCTTGTTATCTTTAGAAAGCAGCCACAGCCTGAGCAGAAAATCCTATCCCCTGCCAGCAGAGAGGGAACCGTGCTCTGTGTGGGGAAGCAGTACTGAAGCTTGCCTTAAAATCAGCTAATTATCATTGTACGCCATACTCATTCACGGGGGGGGGCTGGACCTGGTGGCCCCCCCTTTTAAAGGGGGCTTCCAGATTCCGATAAGCCTCCTGCCTGCAGACCCCCACAACCCCTGTCCAGGGTTGTGGGGAAGAGGCCCTTGTCCCCATCAGCATGGGGACAAGATGCTTTGGGCCACTTTTTAAAAATAAAAAGCGTGGCATGGGTGGTTCCCCTCAAAATCCATACCTGATCTGAAGGCTTGGTATGGATAGGGGGTGGGACCACACTCATCCTTTTTTTTAATTTTTAAATTGCCGGGAAATTCTTTTTCAATTCAGCTGTCAGCGGGGAACCCCACCGAAGAAAGATATATTTTAAAAATAATCTTCCCAAACATATTAACAAATATTTGAAATACTACAGATCTGGCCGTATGCAATATATATATATATACTGTATGTTGAAATGCGTTTATGTTACAAAAATATATGAAAAATATTTCCTAAAATACATTTTCAAATATACTGTATGTCTTTAAAAATACAAATCTACATTTTTGGAACGCATTTACAAATATATATATATATACAGTGGGGCAAAAAAGTATTTAGTCCCCACCAATTGTGCAAGTTCTCCCACTTACAAAGATGAGAGAGGCCTGTAATTGGCATCATAGGGAGACCTCAACTATGAGAGACAAAATGAGAAAACAAATCCAGACAATCACATTGGCTGATCTGGAAAGAATTTATTTGCAAATTATGGTGGAAAATAAGTATTTGGTGAATATGAAAAGTTCATGTCAATACTTTGTTATATATCCTTTGTTGGCAACGACAGAGGTCAGACGTTTCCTGGAAGTCTTCACAAGGTTGGCACACACTGTTGCTGGTATGTTGGCCCATCCTCCATGCAGATCTCCTCTAGAGCAGTGATGTTTTGGGGCTGTCGCTGGGCAACACGGACTTTCAACTCCCTTCAAAGGTTTTCTATGGGGTTGAGATCTGGAGACTGGCTAGGCCACTCCAGGACCTTGAAATGCTTCTTACGAAGCCACTCCTTCGTTGCCCGGGTGGTATGTTTGGGATCATTGTCATGTTGGAAGACCCAGCCACGTTTCATCTTCAATGCCCTTGCTGATGGAAGGAGGTTTGCACTCAAAATCTCACGAAACATGGCCCCATTCATTCTGTCCTGTACATGGATCAGTCGTCCTGGTCCCTTTGTGAAGAAACAGCCCCAAAGCATGATGTTGCCACCCCCATGCTTCACAGTAGGTATGGTGTTCGTTGGATGCAACTCAGCATTCTCTCTCCTCCAAACACGACGAGTTGTGTTTCTACCAAACAGTTGTATTTTGGTTTCATCTGACCATATGACATTCTCCCAATCCTCTTCTGGATCATCCAAATGTTCTCTAGCAAACTTCAGACGGGCCCAGACATGCACTGGCTTCAGCAGGGGGACACGTCTGGCACTGCAGGATCTGAGTCCCTGGCGGCGTAGTGTGTTACTGATGGTAGCCTTTGTTACGTTGGTCCCAGCTCTCTGCAGGTCATTCACTAGGTCCCCCCGTGTGGTCCTGGGATTTTTGCTCACCGTTCTTGTGATCATTTTGACCCCACGGGGTGAGATCTTGCGTGGAGCCCCAGATCGAGGGAGATTATCAGTGGTCTTGTATGTCTTCCATTTTCTAATTATTGCTCCCACAGTTGATTTGTTCACACCAAGCTGCTTGCCTATTGCAGATTCAGTCTTCCCAGTCTGGTGCAGGTCTACAATTTTGTTTCTGGTGTCCTTCGACTGCTCTTTGGTCATCACCATAGTGGAGTTTGGAGTGTGACTGTTTGAGGTTGTGGACAGGCGTCTTTTATACTGATAACAAGTTCAAACAGGTGCCATTGATACAGGTAATGAGTGCAGGACAGAGGAGCCTCTTAAAGAAGAAGGTCCAGGTCTGTGAGAGCCAGAAATCTTGCTTGTTTGTAGGTCACCAAATACTTATTTTCCACCATAATTTGCAAATAAATCTTTCCAAATTTATTTTGTAATAAAAATGCATTTCAACATTCAGTATATATATATGTATCTATATATATACAGTATCTATCTATATATATATATATATATATATATATATATTGAAATATATATTGAAATATATTTTGAAATATATTGAATAGCCAATTGAATTGACTTTAGCGATCTTGTAACCGGAGCTCTCCTTCCTTCTCTGCAGAAGAATATTGTGAATACGAACACCAGGTTTGGAATTTTTGTGGGACCCGCCGCCTGTCCGGACAATTGTGAAAACTATAGGAATCATCATAAATTCTGCATAACGGTGTGTGTACAGGGCTGCTTCTGCCAGAAACCATACATCTACCAAAAAGGAGAGTCCGGCCCCTGCGTCCTCCCGCAGCAATGTTCACAAGTGTACACCGAGTACTACAAATAAAATGCGTGTAATGCCAGCCGGACAGTGGCACAGACCCGCGTGTGACAGATGACATAATATTGTACCTGTTGGCTGTCCACCAATAAAGATCTGTACATCCTGCTATAATGTGTCCTGAGCTTTCAATTGAAGGGAAACTATAATGGTGTGTGTGTGGGGGGGGAGGGGGGCAAATGTTTCCTCTAATATTTAAACATGACTAAACTGATGTTTTTATTTATTTATTTATTACAACTCATATAAAATGTTTTATTTGTTTACCTAAAGAATTATTTATTACACAGGGGGTCCCTCACGGTGTCAGATATGATTTATGGGGTTCTGTAAAGAGACAGCACAGTAGAAAGGGATTGCTTTCAGACCGTCTCTCTCTAATTGAATCTCCATAGGGTAAAGCAGCATGAATGGTGGAATCTGCATTGCTGGCTATTGTATTCAGCAGCACCCTGCAGCTTCTGAGGCCTGATCAGGGCCGGTGCTATAGATAATTTTGCTCCCTAGGCAAGACCAGCTACTTGCATCCCCCCCCCCAAAAAAACCCCCAAAACTTCACCTGTAGTTATACTACTTCTAGCACAATTTCCCCCCAATCCCCCCTCCTAACACAAATCCCCCCCAATCCTCCCTCCTAGCACAGTCCCTCCCAATCCTCCCTCCTAGCACAGCCCCCCCCCCAATCCTCCCTCCTAGCACAGCCCCCCCTCCAACCCACTCTCTTAACACAAATTCCCCCTAATCCCCCCTCCTAACACACCCCCAATCCTCCCTCTAGCACAGCCCCTCCCAATCCCCCATCCTAGCACAGCCCCCCCCCAATCCTCCTACCTCCTAGCACAGCCCCCCCTCCAACCTACTCTCTTAACACAAATTCCCCCTAATCCCCCCTCCTAACAATCCCCCTCCCCCCCCCCCCCAATCCTCCCTCCTAGCACAGCCCTTCCCAATCCTCCCTCCTAGCACAGCCCCCCCCCCCATAGCCCCTCCCAATCCCCCTCCTAGCACAGCCCCCCCCCAACCTCTGATATAAAATCATGGAAATGCTCTGTGATATTCATTTTCCTACCTAGAGGGACAGAGAGATCACCACTCGGGGACAGTAAGTACACACCAGGGGTGCACTGACAACTCATGGGGCACCCGGGCAATAGGGGATCATGGGGCCCCTGTGTCCTTGACCACACCCAAAAAAGCCTTATCAAAAAGCCAATGAAAGGGTACCAGGGGCATTTCATGGGGCCCCCTACTGACCCCGGGCCCTTGAGCAGTGCCCGAGTGCTCAAATGGTCAGTCCGCCTCTGGTACACACTCACCTTCAGGTACGAACACTTCCATCAAAATGATCGGTGAAACTCTTTGATCGTCTTTCCATTGTTCTCTATGACAAAATAGTTATTTCCCTGTCTGGAGGAGATTTTATTCTGCAATAACTGGAAACAAAGTAACAAGTCAAAGACTAGAATTGTGTTCTATCAGTTCTAATAATAGACAGGAAGAGAGGATTCAGTAGTTTATTTATAACAAATTATTTATGAAAGAATCTCAGAAATGTTACAGGAGAGAGAAGATTGTCAGTTTACAAAAATGACTCCAAACAGCATCAGATTTTTTCTCTTTTATATTTTAAATGTCTCTGGAAACAGGTGAAAGCGCGTTTTTATAGATCTCTATGATTTGATTGGACTTCTGTACTCCCTCTCCCCTTTTTTTTAACTGACAAAAATTGCAAAAAAAAAAGTAACATCTAATATGGAGGGATACACCTTCAACATTTCTATAGTAATCCTCTTTGGAGCCCAGGATCTCTCCTTATTATTAGGATACTATAGATCAGGGGAGGACTGACAACTCATGGGGCCCCCGGGCAATAAGGGATCATGGGGCCCCTGTGTCCTTGACCACAGACTACAAAATGTACCAGGGGCATCTCATGGGGCCCCCTACTGACCCTGGGCCCTCGGGCAGTTCTCTAATGGTCAGTCCGCCCCTGCTATAGATCCCTTTTGGTCATCTAGATGGATCCACAAAGATATCACAGAATTATTGAAGTACCTTTATCTAGATATTTAAAAGAAGAACAATAATTTAATTATCATTTTGTTCATTTTATTACATAAAAGCAGAGAATTCTAACATATATTATAAATCATACATGATAATAATGCCAGCGATTGACAGACAACAACAAACTACAGAATGGTGGGGGGGGGGGGGGGGGGGGGTCCCATTAGATTGGTTATATAAAGGTACAAAGGAGGAAACTGGAGTACCCGGAGGAAACCCAAACTCAGGTGGGTGTTATATATATATATTAAGTCTGCTTTATGACAAGTAGGGAGTTATCATATAATATATACAATATATATACACACACATGTGTACATATATATATAATATGTTAATTCTCTACTTGTCATAAAGCAGACTTTACACACACATATATATATTATATATATATATCACCTGCCTGGAGTTTGCATGTTCTCCTTGTGCCTGTGTGGGTTTCCTCCGGGTACTCCAGTTTCCTCCTTTGTATCTTTAGCCTAAAGTCTGCTGTATGACAAGTAGAGAGTTATCATATTATATAATACATACAATATATATATATATATCAGGGGCGGACTGAACATTTGGAAACTCAGGCACTGCCCGAGGGCCCGGGGTCAGTAGGGGGCCCCATGAGATGCCCCTGGTACCTTTTCATAGACTTTTTTGAGTTTGGGCAAGGACACAGGGGCCCCATGATCCCCTATTGCCAGGGGGCCCCACGAGTTGTCAGTCCGCCCCTGATATATATATAAATATAGTATGCATTATATAATATGATAACTCCCTACTTGTCATAAGGCAGACTTATATATATATACCACGTGCCTGGAGCATGTCCTCCCTGTGCCTGTGTGGGTTTCCACCTGGTACTCCAATTTCCTCCCACACTCCAAATATATGCTGGGAGGTGAATTGGCTCCTTTCTAAATTGTCCCTAGTATGTGTATGTATGAATTTAAGTTAGGGACCTTAGACTGTACGCTCCTCGGGGGCGGGGACTGATGTGAATGTACAATATATATGTAAAGCGTTGCGTAAATTTATGGCGTTATATAAGTACCTGAAATAAATAAAAATAAACATATATATATATAATATGATAACTCCCTACTTGTCATAAAGTAGACCTAATATATATATATATATAAATTTATAAAAAAATAAAATACTATATATATATATATATAGATAGATATCATGGTATCCTGGCTTTTTTCAGCAGGAACTTTGGGGCTCCTCCAACACTGATGGCAAGGGGGTGCTGGGGAGTACTGAGGGTCTATTAAAGCTGGCTGCTGGGGGGATCTATCGTCACTGGGGGGGGGGGCTTATTTTTTTATCATGTGGGGGGTTTATTGCTGCCTTTGGGGGATCTATTGTTGTTGGGGGCTTATGTTGCTGGAGGTCAGTTGTTGCTGCTGAGGGATCTACTATTGATGCTGGTTGCTGGAGGATCTATCGATGCTGGCTGCTGAGAGATCTGTTGTTGCTGCAGGGGGTCTATTGTTGCTGGGGTGATAATTTGGTGCAGGGGTACAATTTTGCGGGGGGGGGGGCTGTTGTTGGTGGTGGGGGGGGCTTTTATTGCTGGCTGCAGGGGTCTATTTTACTGCATTTCTTATTATCATGAACACATTCCATGCAAATTACTTGGCACCACAAAATGACAATCAGTTCCAGATTCTCTAACAGAGGCAGTTTGGGAGGTGAGTAGGGGGTGGAACCAAGGGGCGGTGTTTGAGGTGGGTAGGGGGCGGAGACAAGTGGTGACTCAGAAGGGGGGAGTTTCTGCACCTATTCTCTGAGAAATAAAAGCCCTGCATATATATATATATATTTTTTTTTAATTTTGTTTTATTTTAGAGAATAGGTGCAGAAACTCCCCCTTCTGAGTCACCACTTGTCTCCGCCCCCTACCCACCTCCAAGCACCGCCCCTTGGTTCCATATATTATATATTATATACATATTATACATTCCCAGCAATCCTAACCCTCAAGGGGCGTACAATCCAAGGTATATATATATATACAACATAACAACACTCAATGACAGAGACAGGAAACTACAGAGAGAAGGAGAGAATTCCAGCAAAAGGCACCATTTATCAAACAACAACTTGCACCTGTTTCCAGGGACAGACTTAATTGTTTTACTTTTATTTTAGCTACCGAAACTCAGAAGGATGAGAACCACCACCATGCTTCTCGCTGTTACTTTGGGTGAGTTAAAGAAGTACTTAATGGCGACGTCCGGGTAAAATCAAAAGCTGCCCTAGCAGTGGGGTGACCCCAACCCCCTCCTCAAGGGTTCAATGCTAATTTTTGCTTATAATACCTTTAAAAAATAGTTTTATTATAGCTTGCTCCTCTCTTCTCTACGACGCTCTGTTTGAGCAGCACAATTAATACTCATTGCTTAATTTCAGGTAAAAGTTTTTTCAAGTCGTAATTTTTGTCTAAATTCTCTGGAAAATAAAAGACATAAAATTTTCTTTCTTAGAAATAATATATATATCTCAGTGTATATATACTGTATTTTTTCCCCCAATTTTTTTTTAATTTTTTCAATTGTATTTCCTTTTTTAACATTTCTTTTTTTCTTAGAAACTGTTACAGTACAGTGTCACTATATGACTAGTGTGGTGATCGAGGACACTGACTAGTGACTATATATATATATATATATCAGTGTATATACTCTATATTTTTTTCCCGATTTTCTTTTTACATTTTTTTAATTGTATTTTCTTTTTTAACACTTTTTTCTCTTAGATACTGTTACAGTACAGTGTCACTATATGACTAGTGTGGTGATCGAGGACACTGACTAATGACTATATTTACTGTATATATATCAGTGTATATATACTGTATTTTTTCCCAATTGTTTTTAATTTTTTCAATTGTATTTTCTTTTTTAAGATTTTTTTTTCACATACTGTGACCAGAGCAATACAGCATCACCATACTGACGCCGTGCCATTCTGGGGAAGTGATCAGGATTTTTTTTTTTTTTTCTGATCATCAATGTATAAGCAATCATTTTTACTTTGTGAGTGGCATCCGTTTATGTGCCATTCCGTACTAATGTGATAGCTGTGATTGGTCACAGCTATCACATGGTACAGCAGGCCCGCTGTGACTGGTGCTGTACTATGTGATTACTGTGACCAATCACAGAGATCACAATGGCTGTGAATGACAATCCATTGTTTGTTTGCAACTGACATGGGATTGTTGTGATTGGTCACAGCAATCACATGGTACCAGGGTTGCGCAAAGCTGGCTGGTAGATTGATCTGAGTTGTGCTGTGTCTGGTGGATACAGCGTATCAGAGATCGCACTAGATTTTAGCAAATCTTCCCTGAGGTGTGTTACTGGCTAGATCACCAGGTGAAAACAGAGAGAAAAAAATGAAAAAGAAAAACTAATGCAGCCACCACATCTAATGATTGGTGAGCTGCAATATATTACATTTTTGGTTTTGGGTTGCAAAATGCTTAAAGCTAAGAACTACAATTATAACTCTATACAGAACTAATTAACTAGTAGCCGACCTCAGATAGCCGAATGACGGCTGCACTGCGGCCGGCCAGTTCTGGGTGGATGTCATATGACGTCCTCCCAGAACGCGCTCTCCTGCGCGCCCCAGGGGGCGCGCACCCGGCGATCTCCGTGATCGCTGTGTCCTACGGACACAGCTGATCACGTGATGTGGTAAAAGGCCAATCACAGCGGCCTTTTACCACGTGATCAGCGGTGTCCAATGACACGCTAATCAGAGGAAAATGCAAGTGCCGGTTCTCGGCTGCACTTTCCTCACGCTGTCAGATTGTGAGGAAAGTACTGCCGAGAACCGGCAGTTGTCAGAGCGGGGATCGGCACCGATCATCAGGGCACTGATGATCAGTGCCCTGATGATCGGTGCCCAGCAGTGCCGCCCGCAAGTTCCGCCCACCTGTGCCCAGCAGTGCGCCCACCTAGCTCCGCCCACCTGTGCCCAGCAGTGCACCCACCTGTGCCACTCTGCAGTGCACGCCACCTGTGCCACTCTGCAGTGCCACCTACCTGTGCCCAGAAGTGCCACCTACCTGTGCCCAGCAGTGCCCACCCACCTGTGCCCACCAGTGCCACCCACCTGTGCCCACCCACCAGTGCTGCCCACCAGTGCCGCCCACCAGTGCAGCCCAGCAGTGCTGCCAGTCAGTGCCCAGGGGTTGTGCCAGTCAGTGCCGCCAGTCAGTGCCCAGCAGTGATGCCAGTCAGTGCCGTCTATCAGTACCCATCATCAGTGTCACCTATCAGTGCCGCCTATCAGTGCTGCATATTAGTGCCGCCCTATCCGTGACACCTCATTAGTGCTGTCTATCAGTGCCGCCTATTCGTGCCACCTCATTAGTAGTGCCTATCAGTGCCCTTTAGTGCTGCCTATCAGTGCCCATCAGTGCTGCCTATCAGTGCCCATCAGTGCTGCCTCATCAACGCACATCAGTGAAGGAGAAAAAATACCTGTTTGAAAAATGTTATAATAGAAACAAAGAAACTTTGTTTTTTTTTTCAAATTTTTCACAATTTTTATTTTTTAGCGCAAAAAGTAAAGCGCCCAGTGGCGATTAAATATCACCAAAAGAAAGCTCTATTTGTGAGAAAAAAATGATCAAAATTTCATATGGGTACAATGTTGCATGACCGCGCAATTGTCAATCAAAGTGCGGCATCGCTGAAAGCTGAAAATTGGCCTGGTAAATAAGGGGGTATAAGTGCCTGGTAGGCGAGGGGTTAAACTCTTCCCTTCTGTCTCCCATCACAGCGCTGCTTGCAGTGTGCCAGGCCAGACCAGCATATGGTAAGTCAGCGACTGGAGTTGCAATAGCAATCTACTGCAATCACCAAATACAACGAAAGTCTATATAAAAGCCCATAAATCAGATAAATACATTCCAGGATCCATCAACACAAAATGTGTGCTAAGCCTTGTTATCTTTAGAAAGCAGCCACAGCCTGAGCAGAAAATCCTATCCCCTGCCAGCAGAGAGGGAACCGTGCTCTGTGTGGGGAAGCAGTACTGAAGTTTGCCTTAAAATCAGCTAATTATCATTGTACGCCATACTCATTCACGGGGGGGGGGGGGGGGGGGGGGGGGGGGGACCTGGTGGCCCCCCCTTTTAAAGGGGGCTTCCAGATTCCGATAAGCCTCCTGCCTGCAGACCCCCATAACCCCAGTCCAGGGTTGTGGGGAAGAGGCCCTTTGTCCCCATCAGCATTGGGACAAGGTGCTTTGGGCCACTTTTAAAAAAAAAAAAAAAAAAATGGCATGGGTGGTTCCCCTCAAAATCCATACCCGATCTGAAGGGCTTGGTATGGATAGGGGGTGGGACCACACTCATCCTTTTGTTTAATTTTTAAATTGCCGGGAAATTCTTTTTAAATTCAGCTGTCAGCGGGGAACCCCACCCAAGAAAGATATATTTTAAAAATATTCTTCCCAAACATATTAACAAATATTTGAAATACTACAGATCTGGCCGTATGCAATATATATATACAGTATATACATACACACACATACATATATATATATATGTCTGCTTTATGACAAGTAGGGAGTTGTCATATTATATGATACATACAATATATATATATATATATAAAACTAAAGGAGTTGCAAAGTTCTACAGTTCACCTTTTGTTTTTTTTTGGCAGAAGCACCCTGAGTAGGAAAGCCTGTCCCCGGACCATCTTAATAGCATCATGGGACCATGGGCAAAGTAATGCTTTGGGGCCCCTGCCAGCCTGTCCCCATTTATGAACCTAAACAATGCTGGGATCAGGAGGGCACAGTACAGGGGGGGTCAGGAGGGTACAATACTGGGATCAGGAGGGATCAGTACAGTGGGTCAGGAGGGCACAATACTGGGATCAGGAGGGCACAGTACAGGGGGGGGGGGTCAGGAGGGCACAATACTGGGATCAGGAGGGCACAGTACAGAGGGGATCAGGAGGCACAATACTGGAATCAGGAGGGAACAGTACAGGGGATCAGGAGGGCACAATACTGGGATCAGGAGGTCACAATAGTGGGATCAGCAGGGCATAATACTGGGATCAGGAGGGCACAGTACAGGGGGATCAGGAGGGTACAATACAGGGGGAACAGGAGGGCACAATACTGGGATCAGGAGGGCACAGTACAGGGGGATCAGGAGGGTACAATACTGGGATCAGGAGGGCACAATACTGGGATCAGGAGGGCACAATACTGGGATCAGGAGGGCACAGTACAGGGGGATCAGGAGGGTACAATACTGGGATCAGGAGGGCACAATACTGGGATCAGGAGGGCACAGTACAGGGGGATCAGGAGGGCACAATACTGGGATCAGGAGGGAACAATACAGGGGGGTCAGGAGGGCACAATACTGGGATCAGGAGGGCACAGTACAGGGGGATCAGGAGGGCACAATACTGGGATCAGGAGGGCACAGTACAGGGAGATCAGGAGGGAACAGTACAGGGGGGGGGTCAGGAAGGCACAATACTGGGATCAGGAGGGCACAATACTGGGATCAGGAGGGATGGAAGGAAGGAAAAGAAGGAAGAAGGAAAGGGAAGGAAAGGGAAGGAAAGAAACTCTCAGCACAAAGCAGAATCAGCTTTCTCTCCTCTCCTGTCCATGGAACTGTCAGCACTAACCCTCTTAGCTGAGATGCAGCTGAAAGAAGCTGGATAGGAGGAGCGGCTTGGCAGCTACACATAGAGGAATCCATCTCTTCATGTTCCTCCTGCAGCTGCTGAATGCCTGCTTCTCCTTCTCTCCCGCAGACATTCTGCAGCTGCAGGAGGAACATGGAGAGATCGGTTTCTGTATATGCAGTCGCCCCCACCGCTCCTCCAGTCCAAGTGTAGAGAGGGCCACATGGGCACAATTGTGACCCCTGTGACCGCTGTAGATATGCCCCTGATAAAAGCCCAGAGGGTTTCTAGCTCTCCCACATTCTTTCTAAAATTAAACAAAACATCACTTTTAGGTTTTAGGTCAGAAAAGACGGCCTCCCATTACAGGTTAAGGTGTGGGGAGTTTTATGTAAAGGTTTGTGAATTTTATCGATGGGTTCCCATGAATGTTGTATTTCATCGGTCTTATAACAAGCGCTATCTTATCCTGTTATATCTTCTTTGCAGAGGGGTGTGAATTTGATCACCAGGTTTGGAGTCAATGTGATGCTCTCTGTCAGGATAACTGTGAAGAACCTGTAAAGTTGATTTGCCCAGCTATATGCGCACCTGGCTGCGTCTGCAAGAAACCGTACATCAGCATGTACAAATTTAAAGGCCCCTGCGTCCTCCCGTGGGAATGTCCAGGAATATACTCTGAATACCGCAAGTAAACTGCTCCAAACACCAGCTGGACAACAGCACAAACCTGTGCATGACAGATGAGAATACATTGTCCACCAATAAAGACCCGTGCATCCTACTGAAATGTGTCCTGAGCTTTCAATGGAGGGGAAACTAGAAGGGCATAGGGGGCAATCATTTCCTCTTAACATTTAGACATTTAAATTGATATTT